AAGACCATTGCGTAGAATAATCCTCAAAAGACTAGGGCAAATGCGAAATTTGTATCTGTCCACATCGCCCGTATCATGAAGCCGGGCGAATGCGAGAAAAGGGAGACCAATATTTGCGGCTGAAACCGTTCTTTCAGGGGACAGTCGGCGACCAGAAGGAACAAGGCCCGGTAGACGTCGATGCAGAGGTAATAAGAACGGGACAGGAACATCCGTAGACGAAGCTAATCTTATCCGGATAAAAAACTTTGTAGATTGTCAGTTGCACTTCTGGGACAGGGTAATGACGGTTAAGTAATGAATAAGTTAACAAATATGCTAATATCACAAAGAAGTCGTAGCCAGGAATGCCGCCGGGAATGTGATGGTATCGTCGTTGGTGTAAGAGGGGGAAGGGAGCGTCTGCTTCTAAGACAGTTAACCTACAGATCATAATTATCTTTAAAGTGTGTAAGCATTGTTATATTAATCATAAGTTTGGGTAAAGCAACGGCCAAATTATATATTTGAAGTTAACTTTGAATGTAACGGTCGCCGGCTGCTGCAATCGTGCGTTGCTGATCTTTTGGTCAACACCGCCCACAGGAGCAAAACTTCACTTCCGCGGTGAAGGGCGAAAGCATGGCTTGACAGCGAGCCGGCACTTTGGAAATAGCGGCCAAACTCACTAGAATGACTTGAAAAGGCGGTGAAAAGTAATTTTAAAGCGGAGCGCTAGGGTTCCAAGCAGTGCGGCAGGGTCTGTAAATAATAGTGAACTGTTAATAGACTTATCCTAATATAAATAAATAAACAACAGTAGTGAGATTAATAAACATAATGAAATCGAAACATACTAACTCTTGTTATTTCTTCAACTATTCCTAACACTGAATGCCGAGGCAATCCGACGTTGAACCTAATCTACAGCTTATCTAATATTTTGTATTAATCTATAGTACTTGAGCAAGGCACATCCCGTCATCCGTGAGAGCAATCCCGGCATTTCGTAGATTTAACTTTACAGTGTTTTATTTATTTGCGGTAGCTTAGCGAGGTAATTTCCACCGTCCGTGATAATTGATTTAACAAGCTTAGCTTTTCTAAGCTTTTTAGAAAGCAAGAGCGAAATCTCAATTTTTTCTGAAATGAATGTACGCACTTTTGGCTTTCGAGAAAATGTGTTATGTAAAATCATTGAACTATATTTGTATGAAACGAATTTTGGTAAGTTTTGTGCTAATGTGAAAATGTTTTGTGGCCGAATTGGTTTTCTGGATTACCAGCTTAACTAGGAATATAATTAATAATAATAATAATTAAGTTTTCACAGGTAGTAACAAAATAATATAATACGAAAAAAACAGATAGCTTCGACAAGCTTAAGTTTGACCCTTGCTAAAATAAAGCTTACAAGTGTTTTGATTAATCATATTGGACCCCAACATCAAACAACAAAAAGTCAAGAGGCCTTTTTAAAAAAAATAATTGTTTTGTTTTTATTACTTTAGTTAATATTAAAAAAAAAAAATAGATTCTTCTTATTTTGGTTGAATGGACGAAGTCATATATGCAAGCCAACAAGCGCTGCTGCGGCGCTATATATTTGAACACTCATGTTACCACATTTAGTCGATTTGACGACTCTATGTATTGTATGCTTAGTGCCAGAAATCACCTAGTGTCGTTTATCACATATCTCGGCTTCTGAGAACTTGCTGTTGGGGTTCTTTCGATTAAAATCCTCCAGATGCCAGAAATGTTATACAATGAAGTTAATCCCTACTACTGGCGGTTATGGAGGATGCCGGGTTGGCTAGCGTCTGAATGGCACCGATGCTGCTGGGATGGTTATTTAGCAATGATGTCCACGTTTTGATCTGGCGCGTAAGAAGATCATTTGTAATATATCATACATAATGCATAAGCGATCGCCGAAAGACTTTATCACCGTTACAGCTAAGCGTAAAAATAGGACTGACGGGCGCAAGCGACAGTGTTCAGCTCAGATCGATAACGAACAGACGTACTTGCGCCAGTAAGACAATTAAACAGTGTAATTTTTAAAACGAAGTTTAAAATTTAAACACTTATTATAAATTATAATATAAATTAGTGCAAGAGATAGAAACACCCACGTGACAGGGGTGCTGCCGGAACCTTTTAGTCTTTGCCTCTAATCTCTTGGTACATATATTGGCTCGGGCATAAATCAAGTAGGTTGACTCCCGAGAGATATAAAAAAAAAAATTAATAATTAGTCGATATATAATAGTTTTTATCAGCAGTTGTAGAATTTCGTTTGACCCATAAATACTCTAGCCAATGGTAAGCTTGTGATATTATTATATGATCATCAATATTTATATAGATATTCTTACAATTAACTTCCTTTGTATAAAGGCAACCATTAGGCACACACATGGAAACATATTTGGTAAATCTGGATTAGTTTATTATTAAATCATGAATAAGAAATAGAGCCCAACTTAAAAGCGGAGTATGGTTTGTAACTATTCTATATTATATTTCTTTTTGGCGGGTATGCAAATAAATACAATCTGTGTTCCTGTGTATTAAGAGTTCTACCAAAGACAATATAAACACTAAGATGAGTAACACCCATACATTTGCATGCGACGCAAAATTTCTAGCCTAGCTTCCTATGTGGCTTTTACGACTTCAAACGACATGCTAGCCGACTGCTGTTCGTTCAGACGAACGAATACCGAAGTCGCGGCTTGCTGATGCTGACACGAGCAACAAAGTTAGTCGCCAGCCTACCTTCAGCAACATGCATTCATATGTGAATACAAATTTGGGATAGGTCATGCATGATAAGCGCTAGAAAACTAACAAAATTTATTTCTTTGCCAGCTAAAGCCAGAGCTGAGAATAATAACACATTCAAATATGCTGCTATGTTTGTATATTCACACACATACAAACATAATTGCTTGCACGGCCTTCATAGAGCCGAAGCTGAGAGCACATTCTATTTTTAGCTTTTCGCTCTTTCGGCTGTGAGAGCGCAATGATACTGATGTCGTTTTCGTTGTCAAATTTTAAAAAGTCAAGCTGCATAATAGCTTTTTTTTGTATGGCGTTACTCATCTTAATGTTTATATTGTTGGTTCTACTATATAAAAATTGACAAACCTGATTAACGTTCAGTAAACTCAGTTGATGGAGCATATTTCATCGTATTTAACTAAATCTATCGAGACCTCTTTTCGAAACCAACTTGCAAATTTTCAAATTTAAAATAGGGGTCCACCATCCATTCATCTTCTAAAGGGCTAGATATTAATCCACCCCTTCAACGGCCAGAGAAGGTGAACCAGAAACAGTGATTCATATGGAAGATAAATTTAGTGAAGCGAATGTTGGTATTAGTAGAGAAAGAAGCAGCCAAATCTTTAGTATGAGAAGGTGTCAGGAATCATTTGGAACTGGCGAAATAAATTAGTTGGCACTGAGCAAAGCTTGCGTATGGATGAGTGCGATCCCTAACTAAACAAAATTTGGGTGACAACTACCAGCTTATTAAAGACCATATATACTTGCTTTTTAATGGTGAAGCCAGCGACTGGTTTTGGAAGTTCCAATGCGTAAATACAAATTTTATTTGGGAAACCTGTCGTCAAAAATTTGGGAAACAATTAGGAAATGATAACAAGGGGTCAGTGAGTCTTTTGATGACTATCAATTTGCAATAGAAGACCCAGTTGAAAGATTGCACCAATGAATCTCAGAATGTCATTTAGGCTGTGCATTACACATACAGTTTGTCGTCTTATGTATGAAGCTATTCCAGCACACTTGCGTACACAAGTCTCTGTTCATTTGGTCGTTTTATTAGTTTTATCAGACGATTGCGATTCCCAGCTTATTTTAATTTAGAAGATTGCATTATGCTTAAGACAAGTAAACGTAACTATAAACAATAACAAATCTTAGTTCTGCATTAAAAAGATTGAATACCTTTGTCATCGGAAACGGAAACTCAAAATGGATTCTGAGAAAATATAGTAAATTTCCTTTCCCAAAAACGGACAGGCAGTTACGTCGGTTCTTGAGTCTGGTTGGATGGTATAGGCGCTTCGTAGAAAAGTATGCCATTATCAGTTATCCGTTATTGCTGAAAAAAACAAAAGTCTCTAGAACGGAATCAGAATACCACTGAAGCTTTCGTAATGCTCAAATCCTACCTGACTGCAGCACCTATTTTTATAAAACCCAATTTTCTAAGCCTTTTAAAATTATTTCCAATTTTGTACAATCGAGAAATAGTTTATCTGTCTACAACCTCTCCTATCAAAGTTTCTATGTTCTGAACTAACTATGGTTGTATAACTTTCTGGACACATTCATTTAATGCCAGCAAGAGTCGTTGGGAAGGCCAGATTCCCTGAATCAAAATCTTCGATCATGTCTAAAGGACGCTGACCTTCTCCAGGAGATATAACTATTCTTTGCATGGCAATAATAATCCTCCTGGATTATTATCTTCGCAATATCATTCTGCTTATTCATTCACTATTGCATGGAAACTAGAGGCTATACCAAGTCTCTGTCGTCAGCTTGCATCTGCTGCGGGTTTTCGTCAGGCGAAAAGACCGACTGTTCGTTAACAGTAACCTGAAGCTTTCTGTAAAGCTCAGTGTTGACTTGAAAATTTGACTGCATCAGCAACTTTAAAGGGCCTAATGGTTTCAGCCATGCAATCATGGCTATATTCCGTCCTAAGTTTGAGATGAATCTGAACTACCTCGCTCTTATTAAATGCCCTCGGAAGGGAAGTTACAATATTGGCCACAGCAATTGGTACATTGGCCACTGCTCCTTTAATGACATTTTGTCTGCCATATCCCAAAGTCTTGATATTCATAAAAGTAAGACGTGGGGAAATAAGCCTTAAGGCGTTAAGCCTATCAAACAATCTGGCAGATCGGGAAAGTCTAGGCCATTTGTTATAGAAGTCTTAGGTTTTTTGCCTAATTTAATGCTTCGACTACATGTTTTGCAAAAACTTTATTTATTATTGACAAAAGAAAATATAGAGGATAGAAATAAAATATCTGCGCTTCCTTTTTTATTAAATGCAGCTATCAGATAATCTAAGTTATTCCTAATAGCTGGAGAAATTCTATTCTCTGTAAAACTATTTGCACGTTCTTCACTGTTCTTGGTATTGCGCATATTACATTTTAACTGGTTAAATCGCTGAGACAAATTTCTATTTGCGTCAAAAGCGTCCTGTCATGCTTGAATTCGAGCACTTCGCCTTGCACTTGTATTACATGCTTGCTCATTTATTCTACGAATTGAGTTTTCTCTAACCTGTGACCTTTGATTTCTATCCCTAGCTCTATCTAAAAGTCGTCATTGTAAGTTTTGTCGATCGCGTTCTCGCCGAATATTGTCTTGTCCTTGTTTGTTTGCCCCATAAGCTCGCCAATTGCTCCTGTTGTCTTCAGTATTTTGTCTCTGTTCGTTTGCCCCATAAACTAGGTCTAGTCTGCGTCTCAATAGTCGCGAAGTATCACCCAATTATTGCAGTTGCCTAACTGGAGTTGCCTAACTCGAGTCGAGTGATCTACAGTATTTTGTCTTTGTTAATTCACCCTGTAAACTAGGTCTTGTCAGTGAACTTGGCTTCGTTGTCTATTCCTCTTTCTCTCAGTTTGGTTAAAATCTTCACTTTCTCTACGCTCTCGTTGAGACTCTATCTTGTTTATCCTCTCCTGTTCAGCATATTCCAAATTAGACCTATTTAACTGATTTCTTGCTCGTTGTCTCTGAGACCTATTAATAAATGACAACTTTTTGTCCTAGGCATTTACAAACTATACAATTTTAATAACAATAAAAACGTAATCTTGTATGGAATTATTATTTAAAAAAATTAATTGAAATTAATTAAGTTATATTAAATTAAAATTAAATTAAGTATAATAATTTCTTATAATTAAAAATTTAAATAAATACTTTTTGAATTTTTTAACATATATTACAATTTTATAATTGTCTGAACCTCCACGTCAAAGAGCGCAGACGTGTAAAACAATTGCCCTGAAGACGGTTGCCGAAGTGCAGCCGGAATATATTGGTTAAATTTCAAACAATTTGCATTTTCATTTTGTCATGGATAAAAAAGAATGGAAAGGTCGCCAAATACAACATTATATTACAATTTTATAATTATTTGTTTGGCTGGCTCGAGGTACGAGGCTTTTTTATTCAACACAAAATGAAAACGCAATTTTGTTTGAATATAACCTATATATTACGGCTGCACTTCGGTAACCGTCTTCAGGGCACTAACACAAAAACAATTAACATTAGGATACATTAAATAAAATTAAACATTTATTTAAACAATTTATAAAACATACATTGTTTTACACGTATTTGGCAGTTCAATAGATGTCTGTATAAGTCAGCGCAGTTTTCGGTGTCTGTTTTATAGTTTAGTCGTCTGTTGTTTATTATTTGTGTGTGTTTATTATTTGTAACATTTCTAATGTATGTCCTTCGTTATAGAGTTGTTCTTGTTGTGAAATTGTTGTCGTATCGAAATTTGGTTATTGCATTTGATATAATTGGCAGCATCGATAGTTTACCTAGTTGGATGCGTTCTTTATTATCGGCCACGCCATTATCTTTTTGTCGTATGAGCAGAGTAGCGGGGGTGAAACCGGGCACACAGTGGCGCCAAATTAATTGAAAAGTGGCAACGCCCGGCTTGCGATCCACTGCGCAGAGAAGGGTAATGCCATTGAGCGAGCATGATTGGGCAACCGATTCGCTCATAGTGAGATTAGGAGGAGAGCGGATCGGGTGCCCTTGACATGCCCTTGGCGTACAACTGGGCCATAGACCCTAAAGTGCAGCTGTGCAGATGGGCTGCATCGGTGCCCGCCTCGTAAATGTATGCGTGTGTAAATCTTACATGCGAGACGAGACGAAAAAATCAAATAAGACAAATAATAAAATAAACGACCCAGTGTTCCGGCAACGAAGGGATCAGCTCTCGGACCAGAGAGGACCAACAGAGTCACTCCCAGGCCAGGTTTCGACGCAGCGGCGCACATCAGCCATACCCTCGGCGCACGTGTCACCAACGCTATCCAGAAGGATAGGCCAAGAAGCGGCCACGGGCGAGACCGCGCACACATCATCAGAGTGAGTCCGTTCTATGTCGTCCTTCTTCGCCCCGAGTTACAAGCAGAGTCAAACGAAGACTCATGTTCGAGACCCCTGACGGAGAAAAGATATTTTTTTTTGCCATCATTAGAATTAGTTTTATTGTATGAATACATACCTGTACATTATGCATAGTTTCACTTAAGAAAATTTCCGAAAGTGCGAACGGTGAAGGAAATGCCCCAAAGATTATTGCGTCTGCCAAATAAATAAAAAAGGAAAATAATTAGATTGTTAATTTGTGCACGAGCGATACCCGCTTATATGTGCATATATGTCATGCCCCCTCCCAGAGAGCTCTCTAGGCAGGCAAGGTATAATAAGCGCTTTTGACACGTATATAACTTCTTTCTTGGTGACACATATATATACACTTATTTATTTCAGCGGGCACTTGCTCCCCCATTGGTGCAATAATTACCTGATATTAGTATCTTTCCCCTTGTTTTTTTTTTGTTGACTGGCAATAACTTTGGCAGTGTTTTCGTCGCCTGGCAAAAATTAACATTTTTGAACTTAATACACATTGTCAATAATTATAAGAATATGCACAAAATTATAAGAAATGTCCACTTGCATTAGATTGTAAAAGGGCTGCAAAGATAAATGCGATAAGCAATAATATTAATTGTTTCTAATTTGAGGAAAATGTAAGTAATTATACGCACATATTGAGGGAAAAAATGTCCTGCTAAGTTTCAATTGATGGGAAGAGGGGGCATGACAGCCGACACGGGCTGATTAAAGGCCATCTAGTGGCCAAAATGAGGGAGACGAGATCAGGTGATCGTCTCAGGTAGCGCGGGTACTCTGGGTCCGGAGCCGGGACCCGATCTGGAAGAGTAAAGTGGATAAATAGTGTTTTTTTGTTAATTTATATTGAGCGTCTCACCTTTGTTGATTACCTTTTCTTGTTGTTACAGCTGTTAGTCTTGTTCATTTGTTAGAAGTTCCGACTGTTTGTTGTTATCGATTATGTGGATCATTTTAAATAGTGTCTATTGTCTAGTATAGGTAGGTCTGATTTGCTACAGACGTAGCTTTGTTGAAATCGATTATGCGGACTGCGGGCCAGGGATGGAACTTCACACAGAGAACCGATGAGCCAAGCCGGCGCGGCCCACCGAGAAACAAGCAGTGTACAGTGTACAGTGTAACATAAGTGCTGTTTTTTGTATATTATTTTGATGTCTTGATTTGAAGTCCGATTTGTGTTGAGTTATTCTTGTTTTTAGCTTGGATTTTTTTGTGCCGATGTACACGCTGTTGAAAATATTGTTGTTGTCCTAGCCACATGGTATATTGTAAATGACGTTACTTTTGTCCATCATTGGTATTTTCGCTTTTGTATTATTAAACAATTTTTGAAACGTATTTGTGGGCTTATGGGCTACTTTTATTTCTTGTCTAATCATGGTACATATGATAGAGATTTCTATATTTTTGTAAATCCCGTTGGCTTCTGTGTTTTAATTGCGTGATCAATTTATGGTATATTGCGTCCGATATGTTTGTCAGTCTTCTCATACAGCTTAGTGCTGTATTTATAATCATACGTTTTGGGTGGTTAGAGTTAAAGTTTAGTATTCGTCCAGAGGCTATGAGTTCCATATACCACTTAATTGAGTGTCCACTCTGCTTACAAATGCGTCTAAAAATGGTAGCTTCCCGTCTTGTTCTAGTTCCACTGTGAATTTGATGTATTTGTGAAACAAATTTAATTCTTTTAGCTCTTATAGGTTCTGAGATCCTTGCGTTCATACATACGGACAGACGGACAGACAGACGGACATGGCTAGATCGACTCGGCTATTGATGCTGATCAAGAATATATAAACTTTATGGGGTCGGAGATGTTTCCTTCTGCCTGTTACATACATTTGCACAAAAAAATTATACCTTTTTTACCCATTTTTAATGGGTTTGTTTTTAATTTATCTTAATTTAGTAGCGCGTGCTGCATTTGGTGTATATAACAATAAGAGGATTCAGGGTATCCCCTAGTCGGGAACTCCCGAATAGAACCTCTTACTTGTTATTTTTGTGTTAGTTCCCTCAAGACGGTTGCTGAAGTGCAGCCGAAATATATTGGTTACATTAAATAAATAAGCCCCGGACCTCGTGCCAGCCAAACAAATAATTATAAAATAGAAAGGTCGCCAAATCCAACATTAAATGCCAACGGAAGGCACGCCGTAAGCATGAAAACGAACATAAGCCATGCAAAAATAAGAACTAAGTACAAAGAATCCAGCAAACAATTAACAAATTTCAAATAACATTAGTAAAGTTAGTTAAACTAAAATCTATAATAGCTTAAAGTTTCTTTTAAAATGCAGGAAATCTAACCTAATACCTAATTTTATTAAGAACTACTGACAACAATATCCACCCTGACATAACTAAGGCATTAACTAGACACACTCACTTTTTTCACTCCAAAAAACACAACTTATTACAAAAACAAACTAAACATATGGAAACTGCAAAAACAAACATAGAACAACTGATGACCATAGATGACTCCAATTCCACTGAAGAAAAGGTAAGAAACGAAACACGACAAGCTACGAGATAAACGAAACCTCGACTTAGCGGAAAACAACACTCAAAGTGAATGGCTTGTAAACAAAACGAAAAAGCATTCCCGCCTAACGTAAAAACTTTAAATTTAAGGGCAAAAATTCGCTCTCCCGATTAATAAGAAAGAATTCCCTCTCTTAAAATACATTGCGGACGGAGAAGCGTTGGTACAGACGATAAACGAAAAGAAACACAGTCGGCACGCACTAAATTCTCTTTATTAGTTAAGGAATACAAAAGGAAAAAAACAACCAAAGCACAAGGGATCGAGCAATACTGGACACAGTGGAACAGACACGTAAATTCTTACAAGAAAATAACATCAAAATATTAACTTCAGACAAGGGTAAAAAAACAGTAGCAATGGATATCAACGATTACAAAAATAAAATGAGAAATATTTTAGATGACTTATGCGCGTATAGAACACTAATAGCCTCTGCCCACTGAACACATTTCTGAAAATGTCACATTTTTGCAAAATGTGTAAAATGCGGCCTGTACGTTTCCCCATAAGAAAACACATTTCACACATTTTTAAAAATGTCACATTTTTTAAAAATGTGTAAATTCGCCCCGAACTTTTCGTGTATTTTGCGATGATTAATCGAGATTTCTATCGATGTTGTGAAAAATGTAAACATAAACCAGCTTATATTGCAACGAAGGAAAGCGGTAACTTTAAATTATAATTTTAAATTTTAATAATCCCACAGTTTTTAACATTTAAAATTGGCCAAATCTCGCAAAGAGTCAATTAAACGGAGCCCCTACTTCGGGGCCGTATTATTTGACTTTTGGAAGGAAATCTGTGCGGCGCTTATGTAAATTAAAGCAACTCGATCAGCTGTTTATTTAACGAAACAGTACTTTTGCCACTCACATGTTACCGAAAACCGGTGGAACACCAATATTTAAAACTTGAAAATGTGACATTTTTAAGCCCAGTGGAGAAAGGCTATAAGACAGGATCCGGCATCAAGATTACAGACAAAAATAATAGCTTCGTGACACAATTATTTAAGATTGGACTTATTTTAAAGGACGAAAGAAACAAGATGATTTCGACCACAGCGGTACATTTAAGAATATATGGACTACCGAAAATTCACAAGGAAGGAATACATCTGAGACCAATATGCTCCTCTATCGGTTCCCCGTCATATGGACTATGCAAATATGTTTTAAAAATATTAAGAAACTTGACAATGGACTCTAAATACAACATTAAGAACCCGTTAGATTTTAATGTCAGAGTCAAAAACGCCACTATCAGGGAAGACAAGATAGTAGTATCTTTTGACGTAGTATCCCTGTTTCCCACTATACCAATAGGATTGGTACTGGGCACAAAAAGACGAAAATGGACCAAATTGGAGGAACACACAACTATACCTAAACAATTATTTAGGGATATGTTAAATTGTGTATACAAGAGAACTGGTATTTTAAATATGACGACAAAATAAACATACAATCGAAAGGAATGCCAATGGGATCACCAGTAATCCCTCCCCAGTAATAGCGAACATAATAATGGAAGAACTGTTGGACAATATTATTGATAAATTGACAACAAAACCAAAACTTCTGACAAAATATGTAGATGACCTTTTTGCTGTAACGGACAAAACATGAGTACAAAACATTCTAAAAGAATTAAATTCGTTTCACAAACACATAAAATTCACAGCGGAACTAGAACAAGACGGGAAACTACCATTTTTAGACTCATTGGTAAACATTAAGTGGTATACGGAACCCATAGCCTATGGACGAATACTAAACTTTAACTCTAACCACCCAAAACGTATGAATTTAAATACAGCACTTTTGACCATTAATGACTTCCCGAAGAATATAATTAGAACATTATTTAAAAGACAACAAAAGACAACGATAAATCGTCAACGACTGAGCCCCATGGGTGCCCGCGATCATTTTAGTGTGCCCAGACAAAGTAACCTCCTCGTAAAAGAACGTAGATGTGTAAAACAAATTATGTTTTTTAAATTGTTTAATTTTATTTAATGTAACTTAATGTTAATAGTTTTTATACCCTGAACCAATTAAGAATAGGTAAAAAGGGCATAATGTATTTGTGCAAATGTATGTAACAGGCAGAAGGAAGCATATCCGACCTCATAAATTATATATATTCTTAATCAGCTTCAATAGCCGAGTCGATCTAGCCATGTCCGTCTGTCTGACCGTCCGTCTGTCCGTATGTTTGATCTGTAGGATCTCAGAACCTATAAGTGCTAAAGACTTGGAATTTTAGCTGTGTGTCCTCCTGGTGCCCGCCCAGATCGAGTTTGTTTCCGATATTCGATAACTTGCTCCGTTTTTTCCAAGTAATAGATAAATATCGATATCGAAATCCGGTTTTTTTTTTTTTTTTTTAGCAATTTTGGTAAATAATAAGAGCTAAACTCTCCAAACTTGACATGTAGCTTCTAGAATAGTACATATATATGAAGTATCTTTCATTTTATAGCTATCACCACCTCCCCGCTGCCACCGCTAAGCTATAAATCAAGTAAATAAACCAAATTTATGCTGCCCACAATGTAACCCAAAATTTAATTGCAGTGGACTTTTTGAGAATACACAAATATTTTATGTGACAATAAGATGTACTTTCGAAAATTTCATTAAAAGCGTTTAAGAAACACAAAAGTTATATGTTTGATTTGCGCACGTGTTGTTAGCAGCAGCTAGCGCAAATTCAAAGAATTTCTGTTCTGTTTTTATCAAAAAGACTTAATTATTGGTGTGGCTATTGAGTAGAAGCGGCGGAAAGTAGCGCGGTCAGTTACGAGTTCGAACAGTGCCTGGGAAAATGTTTTTTTTTTGGCTGGTGTGCCTGTTGAGTAGAATCGGCAGCAAGTAATGCGGTCAGTTACGAGTTCGATCCCTGCTAAGGGAACTTTTTTTTTTTTATTTATATTTATTACTACTAAAGCAAACGAGCGCGTAGCGCGAGCTGTATTTGGTGTTCAGGGTATCCCCTAGTCGGGAGCTCCCGACTAAAACCTCTTACTGGTTGTTTTTGTGTAAGTGCCCGGAAGGCGGTTGCCGAACCTCGAGCCAGCCAAACAAATAATTATAAAATGGAAAGGTCGCCAACTCCAACATTATAATTGTATATAATACTAGCGGGTATAACCCGGCCTTGCCCGTGGCTCGTATGTTATTAAATCAAAAACTTAAAATTCACCAAAAATATTTTTGAAATGCACTTTCCACCGAAGAAGTTTAGATTTTGCGAAAAACGTGAAACACGTCTCAAATGATTTTTTATGTAGATCCTTGGAAATGAATTTGAGGGCGAAACGTCAACCACCAAATATTTGACCCCCTTTTCCACCAAGGAGGAATGCATTTTTGAAAAAGTGTGAAACACCCCTCAAATGAATTTGAACAAAGATTTTCAAAAAGAGTTTGAGGCCGATCGAATGGTAAACAAAAAAGTTTCATACAAACATTTTTCACTAATTACCCACTGTTGTGGGTTGAATTTCCAAAATCACTGAAACTCGTATTTATTAAGTTCTTATGTAGAGCTCTGAAAATAAGTTTGAAGCAAATAGGACAAAACTTAAAACTTCACAAAAAAAAAAATCTAAGAATCGTACTTTTCCCCGAGTATGCTTTGATTTTAAAAAAATATAAAACACGCCTCAAATTGTATTTTATATAGATCCTTGGATATGAATTTGATCGCGAAACGTCACCCACCAAATCTTTGCCCTCTATTTCCGCCAAGGAGGAATGGATTTTTCGAAAAGTGTGAAACCCCCCCCCAAATGAATTTGAACAACGATCTTTGAAAATGAGTTTGTAGCCGATCGACACTTGCGCGTGGAATTTCCCGAGGTAACTACAGTGGAAATTTCAGCTTCCCAGCTCTTACGGTGTGGGCTGTGCGTTGATCACCACTCAGTCAGTCAATAAGTCAGTCAGGACAAGCAGTTTTATATATGGAGATAAACATAAATTGTTTATAAACTACAATTTTAAATGCCGCGCACTGATTTAATATGATAGTGCTGAAAAATGTCTATTTGATGGACTTCTCTCTTCAGGCGAGAAAAAAAACATATGTATGCACTTAGGTTAATGTTATGCAGAGCTAACATAAACGAGAAAGAAGTGCTATCTTCGGCACGCCGAAGATTTAATACCCTTGCAGACCTAACCTTTTCATAATGCTCATAGTTCTTTGCCCGTATCTAAGAAGCACAAGGAAAATAGTTAATGCCGAGTATCGAGTTTGGTCAAGATATCTTAAAAAACAAAAAAATGTCCAAACAAAAACTTAATTTTCGACCGATTGTTCCTATGGCAGCTATATGATATAGTGTTCCGATGTTGATAGGATTTTGAACATATGTAAGGCCCATAGTAAAACTGATAAATGCCGAGTTTGGTCAAGATATCTTGAAAAATAAAAAAAATTTCCATAAAACAACTTAATTTTTTACCGATCGTTCCTATGGCAGCTATGTGATATAGGGGTCCGATATTAATAGGATTTTGCACATATATGAGGAGCATGGTAAAACTAAAAAATGCCGAGTTTGATCAAGATATCTTGCTATACAAAATAATTTTTCATACAAGAACCTACTTTTCCACCGATCGTTCCTATGGTAGCTATATGATAAAGTGTTCCGATCCAGCTGGTTTTGACATATGTACTGCGTGCAGCAGAAAGAGGGACTTCTGCAAAGTTTCATAAAGATAGCTTTAAAACTGAGAGACTAGTTTCTATGCGAAACAGACAGACGGACATGGCTATATCGACTCGGCTGTTAATACTGATCAAGAATATATATATTCTTTATGGGGTTCGAGATGTCTCCTTCTATGCGTTACACATTTCACGACAAAATTATAATATAGTATAAAAAAAAAGGAAAACAATATAATCGCAATTGCAATGATGATAGAATTCAATAAAGGCGCGCATGATTGTGTGTGTACATGTTGTAGTAGGATAAGATCATCATAGGGAGCACTAACTATGTTATATCAGTGGCGCTTTCTATGCTAATTATAACAGTATTATAAGTAGATATCGATAAGGATATAAATGCTATATCGATAAAAAAAAGATGCTACCGATGTGGTGTGTGAGAGAAGTCTGTCTATAGCGCTAAAAGTAAGAGGAAGTTTGTAACACAAACAACCCGAAAATAAGTTAAATAAATTAATATTACATGCTACTACAATATCAGAAGTGGGATGAACTCAATGGAAAAAATAAATATAAAGGATGTGTCAATAGCAACCTTGTAGAGTTGGTTGGCATTATTAAATTTACCAACAGAGGGTTCAAAAACAGAGCTAATGGCGAGATTCAATTATGTATATGCAAGACGTTGCTCCAGAGTAACTTGGAATTGAAAGCAATCAAGAGCACACAATTCAGGTGCAAAATAAATTGAAAATTGTTACGGAACTGCTTATTTCGTTTTGGGCCGCGCCGGCTGGCTCATCGGTTCTCTGGGTGTAGTCCCATCCCTGGCCCGCAGTCCGCACAATCGATATCAACCAGCTACCACTTCCGTAGCAAGACAGACCTACACAACACTATCCAAAACGAACCACAAAATCGATATCATCAAACAGCCGGAACTATTAACAAATTAACACCACTAACAGCTGTGACAACAAGTAAATGTAAACAACAAAGGTGAGACGATAGTATAAATTAAAAAAAAAAACACTATTAATCCACTTTACTCTTCCAGATCGGGTCCCGGTTCCCGACCCAGTGTACCTGCCCTACCTGAGACAATCACCTGATCTCGTCTTCCTCATTTTGGCCACTAGATGGCCCGCATCAGCCCGTGTCGGCAGTCATGCCCACTCTCTCCATCATCAGATAATTAGCCGGACCTTTCGCTCTTCAGTGTTTGAATATAATTGGTTGTACTACCTTAAAATTATGAAAAATTAATATTATTTCTTATTTCATTTATCTTTGCTGGACATCCACACTCAGCAATTTACAATGTCGTGCAAGCGGACATTCATTTTCAACTTTACATATTCTTATAATTATTTACAAAGGGTATTGATTTACAAAATTTTAAATTTTTTTTGCAGCCGAATAACAATAAAGAAATGACGTCACCGCAAGCTAATGCCAATTACCGCAGGGAACAAAGTTGCAGAATGAATTTATATTAAATTGATCGATTGGCTCCCCACACCTTCATGCCCGTATATTCTCATGTATTACCACGCTGAAAAAATTGTAAGTTGGCAAAATTCCTATATATAAGAATTTATATGAATTAATTAGCTTGAATAGCTCTCTGGGGCACTAAGGGCGATGGAAATAAATCATTTTTGTTTTGTTTATATATATACATATATGTATGGCCGTTGTGGAATTTAAAACAACTTTTCCCTTTCAGGTTCCCCTGTCATTGGCTATAACCTTTGGGTCCTCCCTTTTGACGTAAACTATTTAATATATATATTTCCTCTTTGTTTTTGTTAAATACAGTTGTCTGTCTCTCTCTTATTGTTCAACAATTCAGAGGGGACCCAGAGTTGGACTATCTTTAGGGATCCCTGGTCCCTGCCTCTAGACTAAGGTGGTAAAACGCTTTTGGAACGGACTCACTCGGGGTTTTCCTTCTTCGCCTGTAGGAGCTCAGCCTTTTGTGGCTCGCTTCTTAGTCTTGCTTGGGGCGCCGTAGGCCTGGCCTCGCGTAGGGTCTCTGGCCCGTGAAATATCTTGGTTGGGCGTCCTTCGGCGTGGGATTCGGTCGCCTCCTCTTTGGGGCAACGCAATTGTTTTTATTTTCGTTAAATTGACAACTGTGGGTGGGTGTGTGCGTGTTTGGAAGCCTTACGTGCCATTTACACAGCGCAACTCCGGCAATATATTGGCACTTGATGAACTTTACGTTACAATTCAGTAAACTAGCAATTTAAGTTTAAAATTTTCTTTTTATGGGTTTAATGTATTTGTGTAAATGTATGTAACAGGCAAAAGGAAGCATCTCCAACCCCATAAAGTGTATATATTCTTGATCAGCATCAATAGCCGAGTCGATCTAGCTATGCCCGTCTGTCTGTTCGTCTGTCCGTATGTATGAACGCAAGTATATCAGAACCTATAAAAACTGGAGACTTGAAATTTTAGCTGTAGGTCCTGCTAGTGCCCGCGCGGGCGAGCGAGTTTGTTTCCGATATTCGATAGCGCCCCGTTTCCAAGTAATCGAAAATTAGATATCGAAATACTGTTTTTTGAGCAAATTGGGTAGATAATCAGAGCTAGAGTCGCCAAACTTGACACGTAGCTTCTAGAATAGTATATATATAACAGTATCTTTCATTTTATAGCTATCACCACTTCCCCGCTTCCACTACAAAGCTATAAATCAAGTAAATAAGCCAATTTACATTTGCTGCCACCAATATAAGCCACAATTTAAATGCTATTGTGAGAATACACGAATATTTTAAAGTACAATAAGATCTACTGATGAAAATTACATCAAGATCGCGGAAGAAATATAAAAGAAAATGTGTTTTGGCTGCTCGCGTGATTGCGGCAGCTAGCGCAAATTCCAAGAATTTCTGTATACACACATTCCTGCGCGTCTTCTTTGAATTCTATCAACAGCATTGCAATTGCGATTGTATTGTGTTCTGTGCTGCAATTTTAATTTGTTTTATTTCATTAAAACGCTATAATTGGTGTGGCTGTTGGGTAGAGGCGGCGGCAGGTAGTGCGGTCTACTGCGAGTTCGAGACCTACCGAGGGAAATTTAATTTTTTTATTTGACTGGTGTGGGTCTTGAGTAGAGGCGGAGGCAAGTTGTGCGGTTAGTTGCGAGTACGAACACTGCCAAGAAAACGTTTTTTTTTTAAATATATCTTTATTACATAAGCAAACGAGCGCGTAGCGCGAGCTGCATTTGGTGTTGGAAGAAGAGGGTTTAGGGTATCCCCTAGTCGGGAGCTCCGACTAGGATCTCCGGCCCGGGAATATCTGGGGTGGCCTGGCAGGCGTCCTCCGGCGTGGAATTCAGTCGCTGTGTTGAGGTTATTCTTTCTTTCCGTCGTTTTAATGTTGCACGATTTCGTGTTTTATCAAAGTCTTAGGTGCCATTTGCACACTGTAATTCCAGCAATATGTTTGCACTAATATATTTTGCTTTATAATTTAGCACACCCGTTGTCATGATTAAGTTAAACTTTTATTTGACCAAAGTAAGACAGATGACTTGTGGCCGGCATAAAATGGCGAATTTATCGTAGCTTCGAGCACGGCACGCGCGGCTGTGCATTTGGACAGCACCATCATAGGTGCTGAAATTCGGCACACTCATACATAGAAAGGTGGTCACTCAGATGAAGGTCTGCTCTTTGATTCGATTTGTGCACGGTAACACTGCACTTATGAGTTGTTCAGCGGCTGTTGCTTAAGCCGTTATATATTTAGTTTGAGCATTGTCGCTGATTTTATGCAGCTGCTGTTGCTAAGCATAATTGGTGCATTGGAGTCATTGCCATTTTCTTTTCGGAATTATTCTGCTTCCCTGCTTTACATATTGGAACCGAGTGGATAGTTATTAACCAATTGTCTGGCAATTTCAATTGAAATAAATAATTTTGTGAATTGATTTGTGCAAAATGTTCACGCTTAATGACGGAAATGCTAAGGACGCCAAGTCTAGTTCGAAATTAATAGCGACTTTTCAAAAGCATGAAAAGTTCTAGGAGATATTTAGCGGTTAAGGACCGCGTTTGAAGAAAAAACAATTTCATTTGATCAGATACAACTTCAAGTCGACTGGAGTTACTTGAAGGGTATATTGAAAAGATAAAGGAAATTCAAGCTGACGTCGGGCAACAGTGGAAGATGTATGTATTTCTACAAAGGCTTTATATTTATCGGCCATTTACAAAGTAGAACGTCCCAGTCATCACGATTTATTAGCGTCATTCAATCAACATCATAAGTCACAGCTACCCAAAATGTAGTTGCCAAAGTTCAATGGAAAGCATGCAGAAATTAAAAACTTTATTTGTCTTTTTGAAAGTCTGGTGCACAATGATTCCACACTGTCCACAATGTCAAGAAATTTAACCATTTAATTTCTTGCTTGTCTGATGAGGCATTAGGAACAGTAAAGGCATTTCAAATCATAGACTACAATTATGAAAAGGCTTTAGCAAGTTTAAGGGCTGTTTATGACAACAAATACCTTATATTTTTTGATACAATTTCCGAACTCTTTGAAATTCCTCACATCACAAAACCTTCAGCCTCAAGTCTTAGAGGCCTTATAGATACCATATCGCCAATATATTCGTCTCTGTAGTCTCTAGGCGATGACAAGGATATTGCAAATGTTAATTCACTTTGCAATGTGAAAAGTAGGTCAGGTAACGAAATCTCGATTCGAAGAAACGCTAGACTATGATAGATTGCCATCTTGGTCAGATTGAATCGGCGCTATCAACATTTGGCTGCCGAAGAGTCAACTAGAGGCAAAACGAAACCAAGGCAAGAGGCTAACAAGGCGCATATCAGGTCATCGCTTTCGTGCTCTAAGGGTGATCAGAGGGCAGTTACCAAATGCAGCTATTGTTCAGTTACTGTCAATCGCTTAGCGCTCCTCCTGTTTATCAACGCTTTGGGTTTGTGAAGCAACACAACTTGTGCATCAACTGTTTAAAACAGGGGCATGCAGTAAAAAATGTGGAGCCTCGAAATGTCGAGTGGGTTCAAAGCCACACCACCCTGTACTTCACAGGTATGAGAGCGAGAATTTGCAAACGCAAGCCTCTAGTTCCGCCACAGCGTCTCCACAGCAACAGGCTTAAGTCATAATCTTAGTGCCGAACAAGTAATCCCAGCCACAGCTGTAGTAAAGTTAAAAGTTAGATTTGGGTATTTCCAGCCCGCAAGAACGCTTTTAGATTCCGGATCTTAAATAAACTTTATGTCAGAGGACTTAGCACAACGCTTACGTCTACGTCGGGAAGATGCGTGATTGAAAAGTGTCACAGTGGGAGCCACTGCATCGATCGGTTCAATCCCGCTTGAATTCTCATACTTTTTGGGATGATATTTGGATTCGGAGTTCTATCTCTACATACCAACCTGATCAGAAGATTGACTCCTCACAATGGAATATACTTCCAAATATTGAACTGGCCAACTCGATTCCACAAACCTGCAAGAGTAGACTTGCTTTTAGCTGCTGAAAAGTTTTTCGACCTACTTTGTGTTGGCCAAATAAAGCTGTTCTCTGAACATCCAACGATCCAGAAAACATTGTTAGGATGGATTGTACCATATCAAGTACTAGTAAGCACTGTCGCAATTGATAGTGACAATAGTTCTCTCGACACTCTGGTACAACGATTTTGGGAATTAGAACAGATCCCAGAGAAGTCGAAGGCTGCATATACAGCTGAACAAATTGAATGTGAATAACATTTAAAACAGAATCTGCGGAGGGTGGAATCTGGCAGATTTGAGGTCAAATTGCCATTTAAAACGAGTCCAAAAGTTTTGGGAGAATCTTTTGAAACTAATCTACGTCGGTTTTTTGCTTTAGAGCGCAGACTTGAAAAGGATGACGTACTGCAAAATATGTATAACGATTTTATGAAAGAATATCGTGACCTTAGACATATGTCACCGCTTACGTCAACTCCTCCAGGACTGCATTATTACATTCCCCATCAATGCGTCCTGCGTCCTGATAGTAGAACCACGTAGTTTTCGATGCGTCAAGCAAGACGTCAACGTCAATCTCACTAAACGAGACTTTGTTGGTAGGTCCAACTATTCAGAGGGAGCTATATATAACCCTTGTACGATTTCAGTTGAATAAGTATGCTTTGGCAGCCGACATTTCAAAAATGTATCGACCTGTAGACATTGCTAAGGAGGATCGAAAGTTTCAGTTAATTGAATGGAGGCAATATAGATAAGAAAGTTTACAAACATTTCAACTCAACACTGTGACTTATGGCACTGCCTCCGCTCCCTTTTTGGCCATACGTTGCCTTTTTGAACTAGCAGAACTCTACGCAGCATTGCTTCTCAAATCATCAAAAACGATTTCTATGTAGATGATATGCTAACAGGGCAAATACCCGATTAGAATTACATAAAATTTCCATTCTTCGATATGTTTTCCAATCCACCCAGGATATGGGGAAAGTAGTTGCGAAGTTATATACGGCAAAGTCTAGTGTGGCCCCCTTAAAAACAAAATCGATTCCACGACTGGAATTATGCGCTGCTCATCTGTTGGTGATATTGTGGTCTCAAATCGCTTGTCTCTTTGAGGTGGAGAGCGTTAATTTTTGGTCAGACTCTCAAGTCACTCTCTACTTGCTTAAAAGAGACCCCAGCTCAACTTTCGTAGCCAACAGAGTAGCAGACATACAAGAACTTTCTGTTGGTGTTCACTGGCGTCATGTGCCGTCAGAAGCAAAACCAGCTGATTTTGTTTCTAGGGGCACAGATATGGACGATTTGGTGTGTGGTTTAGTGGTCCTGAATTTTTAGGACAAGTCCCAAGTAAATGGCCGCAACTTCATCAATTTGAAATATCACTGGAAATGTAATCATCTGAGAAGAACAAGAGAGTGACAGTGCATTCTGTAGCATTACAGAAGTTTAATGAAGTCTTGATAATCGACCGGTGCTCCTCGTTCACTAAATTAGTTCGTGTCACATCAACCGTGTTCTCCAAGCAAAAATCGTAGTCGCGAAGCAGTTTTCTCACCACAGGAGGTGCGACTCGCCTTTCTAAAATTGGTGCAAGTTGTGCAAATGTCTGAGCTTGGTCACGAATTGGTACAACTAGAAAAATCAAAAATCTTAGAACATGAAATTGTAGAAAAAGAAACCAATTTCAAAATCATTCGAGTTGGTGGAAGATTGCTAAATGATATGATGCTAAGTTCCCATACTGCTGTCTCGAAAATCTCATTTCGTCGAATTGATTCTTCGAAATATCCACCTTAGGAATTACCGTGCGGGCGTCAAAGTTATGGTCTCAATTCTACGACAGCAAATCTGGCTTTTTAATGCTCGAGAAGCATGCAACAAAATTGTTAGGGGTGCGTGCACTGCTAACGGTACAAGTCAAAACTGCAAGGCCAAATTATGGGCAATTTACCAGCTGATCGACTGCGTGAAGCTCGCCCATTCTTAGTTTGTGGCATTGATTTTTGTGGCCCATTTTATGTTACCCTTAAGATTCGAGGGAGAGCCCCAATCAATACTTATGTAGCCATCTTTGTTTGTTGTGCGTCTAAGGCGGTTCACCTTTAACTTGTTGCTGATCTTCCCACTGACTGTTTTCTGTCTATATTTAAAAGGTTCAGACGAGGTCTCCCTTAGAAGGTCTACAGCGATAACCCCACCAACTTCGTGGGAGCAGCGAACGTCCTGAAGGACCTCCAGGCCCGAAGCAGTAGCTACCTGACCACCCTGCAGCAGCGCAGACAATGGTCCAAGGACGTGCCCAACTTGGAAGTAGGATGCCTCGTTCTGGTACACGAGGACAACACACAATAGTGAGCGTGGTGGAGACGCCGACCGCACTCTTCAAGCGGCCACTACACAAGGTGACAGTGCTACTAATAGTTTAAGCCCTTAGACCTTCACGGGGCCGGAATGTTAAAACAGCTCAAACCAAATGAAGAAAACCAAATAATGTAAACGTGTAGAGTGCAGCGATGTTTCTCACAAGCACAGTTAAGCGTTGTTCTTGTCGTTACTCGTCTTAGCAGCGACAAGCCTCTTCGATAGTTGTAAGCAGGATATGTTCTCGAGCTTTGCAGTCAAACAGAAGCGATTAAAGTGTAAAGAAGAAAGCTTGTGTTTTTTCATTGCAAGCAGACATCGGTCGGTAAAATGCTCTTAGACGTCGTTTATTAGTTAAATTTGTTAACTAACTAGAAATTATTGGATTATTTAATCGTGAAAACGCTTACGAATTTTTCACCCACTACTATTAATTTATACTTGCGGCGCTGATCAAAAGGACGGACGCTGCCGCCGCCAACGCCTGGCGAGGAGGTGAGCAAATTACGCTTATGCTCGTAAGTCTTTTGCGTGAGATCTGGAAAACTTTTAACGCTTCTTAGTGCGAAGTTGCGCTTCCACACTGCCTGTCCCAGTTCCAGATGGAGTTGGCGCACGCGTTGATCATAGCGTTGACGACTTCGCTCGTAGGTCAGATATGCTTTAATCCGCCAACGACTTTAGCTTCCGGGCCAGTTTGTAACTGGAACCATTCAGGTACATGTGCTGGCCAAAGGCGGCAAAGAACAGAGACACCCCCGTAGCACTGTGCACCGCATTCCGGATCGCCACTTCTACTTCTGGTAGGTACGTGTCCCATTCCCTGTGATCCTGGCCCGAGTAAGTTCTAATTGCAGACAGCACAGTGCGGTTCACGCGTTCGGCGGATACATTGGGGTATGCTAATGCGTAATGCCAAACGCCTGGACCATTGCGTCGGACGACTTTGATATGAATTGCCGCCCATTATCCGAATGGATCCCTTCCAACATGCCAAATTTGAAAAACACTTCATGGACTAGGAATTTGACGACGTCCGCCGCGGTGGCTTCCCTCATGGGCTTTAGGAAAGTGAATTTTAAAAATGACGACGAATGCATGCCCTCGTTTTGACCTGGATACTTCCCCAAGAAGTTGATGTATATCTTCTGGAAGGGACGGTCGGTGCGCACTTCTTCCCCAATTCCTACCTGCATTCTGTAATTTTGTGCCTTGGTCTCCTTACACGTGTCGCATTTCTGCACATAGTCCCTGACTTGCAAAGCCATGTTGGGCCAATAGTACCGCCTGCGCAGCGCGTGCAGCGTATCCTCATACCTCCATGAGCTGACGTCTCGTCCTGCAGTCAGCGACTCCGGCACCCAGAGCTTCCAACTCGTGCCTTCGACTTCATCCTTCAAGCTCTCGTGCACTGTCCTCTTGATCAGGAGCCCGTCATGCACTCGCAGATCCGGCAATTTCCGTTGTTGGCTCATGACATCCTTTACCAGCCCTTGGTACTCGGTGCTCTCGAACTCCAGGGTCTGAACTCGAAACAGATCCTCCGGGGTCAATTTAACCTCTTCCACGCTTCTGGACAACGTGTCAGCGACGACGTTGTCGGCTCCTTTGCGGTACTGCATGGAAAAAGGGAACGCTTGCAGTTGCAGCGATCGGCCTTTATTGTTGACGTCCCGGTGGAACATCACGGCTTCTACTCCGTTGTGAGATGCGTCGCTTTGGATAAAATCAGCGGGAACTAACACCGGAGCTGTGGTGAGGGCTTGCTTCAAACTTTCCACGGCATCGATAGCCTCGTCGCTCAATGCAAATATAGCAGAATATCTTTCGCTCTTTGGCCGGCAGTCTCTAAAGACATGATCGAGCTGCCTACAGTTCCAGCATACTACCCTGTCCGGCTTCTGCAACCAATGTGCCTCTCCACTTCTATGGACCCTTGGCTCATCTATTGTGAGCACATCCATCGCATAGATATATTTAGCTAGACTCTCCTTCAAACCACGCTTTATAATTTTCACCAGCTCACGGTCTCTCAGCGGCTTCTGGAATCGCGCGGTGAGCTGACGCATGTGGATGTAATCATCCACCTCTTCGCTGGTCTATTGCTCTCGTTGTAGTAGCTCCTGCAACATGCTAGGAGTGTGCCACATTTTCTTCTATAAAAATAGTAAGATAATGCAACCGAAGCAATATCTCGAATGAGCATCCACAGACAAACTCCGTGTTACCAACGCCGCAAGACCGTTTTCTTCAATACACTAGCGTCAATTCTTATTGCAGTTGTTACCTTCTAAGAAGTTTATTTGTTTAAATCTGCCTCTGATTAAATACATAACACATCATGATCCGTCTTATAGCCCGGAATCTGTCTAAGAGAGCATGCCGCAGTTGGATCCAGCTGTCGACCCGAGAATGCCGCACGTGCATCCAATACCACTCCCGGGCACGGCCGGTCAAAAGCAGGTGAAAACCACGCAGGACCTCCTTCCACGGGCATTGATACTGCCTCTGCAGGAACTCCAGACGGAACACAAAGTCTTCGACAGAATTCGCTTCGTCAGCGTCCGAAACCCAGTCAGACATCTGTTCCTCAGCTATACTAATCCCTTAAGAAAACTGTACCCCTCTCTTCTATAAGGCTAACCAATCCTAATACAAAAAAAACCTTTACAAAAAATTCCTATTAAATAAATAAATCAATAAATACACATCCACCAACAAATCTTACTAATATTGAATAATAAATAAATAAATATCGGCGACTCCCTATCGACAACACAATCTTAGCCACAATAACAAATAAGGAAATAAATAAACATCGACCGAAAAAATAACTCACAAAAATCGATTTGTTATATTTTTAATTCAATTTCATATACTTCGGAGGAAAGAGGACAAATCGTAACACAGGCTAACTTGTCTACGCATAATCTAGACAATGGACAACATTTAAGCATTCATCAAATGCTCAGTTCGTCAGTTTGACTGACGGCTACCACCAGTCTATGATGGACAGTCGCAAACGCATCATGCGAACGTGTCATACTGCCATCAACCGCGACAAGAAAACTCCCAATGTTAATGGACACTATGTCAAGGTGCGTCTCTTTCGCTCTTCTGACCAATTTGGGGTATGCTGTGAGACAGATGCGGCGCAGGCTCGATTCTACATCGTCCTGGGTCACCTGTCTCCGAAGCTCTTGCACCTACGGTTAGCACATATCAAACATTAACACAGAATGAGACAAACAAAACTTATAATTGAATAAATAACATCTAACAAGATGCCTTTGTCAATGCGGCTATCACCAGGCTATGATGAATGATCGCGAACGTTTCGCCAACACGCGAACGTGCCTTACCGCCATCAACCACGACAAGAAAAACTTCTCATGCTTATGGATATTCTCATAATATCTGCCTCCGTCGTGCTGCTCGGATTGCACTAGACGCTGCGCGATTATGGACTACTCACTCGAGCCACAAATGACATCAGCGGTGTAGATCCTAAAGCCAAGGGAGACTTTTCTCTGGACCTGCATTGATATTTTTTTTTGTTTTTTTTATTTTCGATTTCAAAAAAACCGGGTGTTTCTTCAACTTGGGCACCATATTGTTACGGAACTGCTTGTTTCTATTTGGGCCGCGCCGGCTTGGATCATCGGTTCTCTGGGTGTAGTCCCATCCCTGGCCCGCAGTCCGCACAATCGATATCAACAAGCTACCACTTCCGTAGCAAGACAGACCTACACAACACTATCCAAAACGAACCACAAAATCGATATCATCAAACAGCCGGAACTATTAACAAATTAACACCACTAACAGCTGTGACAACAAGTAAATGTAAACAACAAAGGTGAGACGATAGTATAAATTAAAAAAAAAAACACTATTAATCCACTTTACTCTTCCAGATCGGGTCCCGGTTCCCGACCCAGTGGACCCGCCCTACCTGAGACAATCACCTGATCTCGTCTTCCTCATTTTGGCCACTAGATGGCCCGCATCAGCCCGTGTCGGCAGTCATGCCCACTCTCCCCATCATCAGATAATTAGCCGGACCTTTCGCTCTTCAGTGTTTGAATATAATTGGTTGTACTACCTTAAAATTATGAAAAATTAATATTATTTCTTATTTCATTTATCTTTGCTGAACATCCACACTCAGCAATTTACAATGTCGTGCAAGCGGACATTCATTTTCAACTTTACATATTCTTATAATTATTTACAAAGGGTATTGATTTACAAAATTTTAATTTTTTTTACAGCCGAATAACAACAAATAATTGACGGCACCGCAAGCTAATGCCAATTACCGCAGGGAACAACGTTGGAGAATGAATTTATATATATTAATTTGATCGATTGGCTCCCCACACTTTCATGCATGTATATAAGCATGTATTACCACGCTGAAAAAATTTTAAGTTGGCAAAAATCGTATATATAAGAATTTATATGAATTAAGTCGCTTAAATACTCTTAACCTACCTAAAGAGCTCTCTAGGGCGCTAAGGGCGATAGAAATAATTACATTTTTTTCTTATTATATATAT